CAAATTAAATAAAATTTGTTACTTTCCTTTTTTTCTAGCTATAGATAATTTGTATTTACCCCCACCTCCCCACGAGGTCAGGTTGTGACACAAGGTCGGCTTAATGTGGGGAGCCCGAGCGTATACACCCAGGCTAGGAACAAAAATTGTCTGCAGCCCCCGCAAACGTCTGTCTCTGGTGCTACAGATAATTAACTTTCACTAGATTAGAATAAATTCCGACGTGAAAAGTGATCATTTTAGAATTAAAAAAATCCCATATAAATTTCAAGTAACAACCCTAAGAAAAAGATAAAATAATTTGAAAAAGTGTTGAATAAATGGAAGATTACATCTGTGTGAAAACAGAAAATTCAAAAGAAGTGAATTTAACTTAATTAGCTGTGGCTATTTCATAATAACGATATTCTTGTTTTCTAATAAAATGCCATTTTAATTTATTTATTTTACAATTTTTTTTAAACAATGGATTTATAAGGGATCAGGTGAAATGAGTTTATAGAATAGCTTACTCTTAAATGATTCCATTTAGTTTTCTATTCCCGCATAAAATGTTTTTCTCATTTACAATTAATGTATGATTGACTTAAGTGATCAAGATTATTGTTTCTTGAATGGCCTGATTTTAAATGATTCTTTTCCGTTTTCTAACAATGGATCAAATAATTTTATTTTTAATTTACAATTATTAGTTTATAACTGATTAGAAGAATTAGACTTGTTACATTGAATGGTATGCTTTTACCTACTGCGGGAAAAATCTGCCTCGTCAGTCATGTATCGAAAGATACATGATCGCCTAAGCGTGTATCACGCATGGCGCATACTGATGCTTTTAAATGGAACCTTTCTGTTTTTTTTAAAACAGGATTAATTTATATTTTTGTCATTTCTAATTAATTTATTGCTAATTAAAAGAACCAGACTTGTTTATTGAATGGTTTATTTTTAAAGTGACTCATCACAATGCATGGAAAACAAAATATTCGTTTCGGAACACCATCTACAATGCTTTAGTCTCAATCTATGTAATGTCCAATTTGAGTAAGAGAATATGAACAACTTCCAGACTGATGCCATACTCTTCAAGGAGTCCTGAAGAACGGGGAAAAGCGAAACCAACTGTTGGCGATCGGAAGACAATGCAGGAAGCAGAGGGAGTAATCTCGGACCTTCATTCCACATTCCATATTCGACTGTCACACCTGCAGAAGAGACTACCATGCCAAGATTGGTCTGTTAAGTCACTTCAAATGTGCTGTTCACAAAAGGAATGGATTTTGATTTTTGACCAAACACCGCTATCATTATTTCGCGAGAAAAAATGGATGCCTATCTATCCCTGATTAGATTAATTAATGTAGGTATGTTCAATACTTCGCTAAAAAAGAGCATACCCTGATGAAAAAAGGCCTTAAACTTGATTAAATAATTTTTTATCGTCTAAATGTTTGTTATTATTAAGAGGAAAGACTAAATTATTTTTCTATATTTAAAATTTTTTTCAATCCTTTCTAGCACGTGCGAAATTTTAACTAAAAATCTTTTCTTTTCTTTTCTTTTTTTTTGAGTTAGTAAAATTTACATAAAATCGATCATATCAGCCATTTTTGACAACTTTGTAAACAAAAGTGAAATTTTCCGTTTAAAAACCTTGTAAAATTAAATTATATTTTTTCAAAAGTTATAGGAAAATTAGAAAATTTAAAGTATACTTAATGTAATTTGAAACAAACATTACTTCATTTTTTTAGCAGAAAAAAATTACTTGCAAATAAGAGAAGCATGTCTAACTGGTGATTGGTTTTGGAGGTGTGAATTGACGTTTACGTCAATGTATCAACAACTAACGTCAGGGCAATTTATCGGACGGAAGGGTAGAAGTGACAGGATTTTCAAATTTCAAGTGAACCAGCTTATTTAACTATAAAGTAATTCTTATAAATTAAATACTTTCAAAAGTCTAATATTTTGTTGATTTTTATGTATTTTTTTTTTTTTTTTTTTTTAACGAAAATATGTCCAAAGCCTGCACTGTTTCCGTTCCTAAAACTGAATCTAAAAAAAAAAAATAATAATAATAATAATTGCAGTATGTCCCTCATTGAAAGAGAAAAAAAATGTTTTTTTGTTTTTTTTTAAAAAAAAAAAAGAAAAAAAGAAAAAAAGAAAAGAGAATTAAAAATTTTGAAAATGCAACAATTATGGTCGGTAGTCAGAGAATTTGACACGAAATCAACTCAATTTATAAAGTCGGATCCTCGCTACCAGGAGAAATAACTCTTAAAACACAGGGCATTATTTCCGTAGTTTTGCCGGAAATGTTTTTAATAAATTTTTGGCATATCAAAAAATTATTGTAAAAATAGAAACGCTTCGCAGTTTGTAATAAGTTTTCAAATTTACGATCTGTAAACATAGATCTTTTAAATATGAGCATTTGCTGAGATACACATATTCAAACTTAATTTTAAAATATTTAACAACTTTATCACATTTTGTATTTAAAATTGAAAAAAAAAAAAAAAAAAAAATTCATTTTTTATCGAAAAAATATTTTGGTTAGAGTCAAATGTCCTTATTCATAAAATGAAAATCCATTAAAACTAAAAGCTTTTTTAATTAAATAAGGTCTTAGTTTTATTGGGTTTTGTATTTTCCAATTCAGAGCTAAAGTTTGGGTAGGAACGCTCCTCGACTTACAAAAAAAATTGTAATGATATGATGTACACATCTCAAGAAATAAATCGAACACGATTACCATTTGAATCAACAGGGCGCTATTATGAGGAGGTGTGTGTGTGTGGGGGGAATGACCTGCAGCGAATCTTTATTGACATTCTGATTGTTTAACAAGGAAATGAGCTAAGGTAGATAAAGGATTGTACTCAATGCAACACATCTCCTCTATTGAATAAGTTAATATTACTAATTAACTTAATGGGATTTAATTTTGTGAATAGAGGTAGACTACTTTCATGTTCGTTTGGCATTATTCTAGCTAGCCATATTTTTATGCGATTCTGTAACACAGTGGATTGTTGATGACACGACTACTTCTATTCACAGTTCTGCTAGAATCTGGTCGTGGCTCATTTGACAATGGCTGCGCAGCTGTGATTGTTTCTTGGTTGGTGTTGTTCTGGTTGGAACTGATGATCGGCCTCTCTCGATGGTCGTATGTACCTTCGGTTCATTTTATATTTATTTCCAGCTAGCGTTTCCATGATGCACGTTCTTGGTTGATAATCTTTATTTTCATTACTTATCGAGACTCCATAACTTGCAGATGCATGGGGGCCCCAAAATCTTTTTTAGTGGTTAGGGCCCGTATGGGTCTTAATCCGGCCCTGTAAGTCAGGACCAATAACATTTCAGATTATTCTTTGGATTTATCAAGAATCTCTAAATGCATGGTAGAAGCACTATTCAAAGCAAGGACGAACGGTAGAGAGACTTTAAGATAGATTCTAGCAAGAAAAATTGTCTACTACTATATAGTGAATTTAATTTTTCTACGTTGCCTTCATTATTTATTTACTTAAATATTTTATTTATTTTTTAAAAATGTTAAGATTTAAAAAAGTATGACAAGGCCATGTAAACACTTTGTCTTTACTTAAGTAAGAATAAGGAAAGTAAATGAGGTATTTTATTTTTAACTAAAAATATTGTTTGAGTGGATTTTACTTTTCTTTTGTCTCATAAGTGTTTTTATGTGAACCCTGATTTTGTTGGAGGAGGTTATATGATTGTTTCATTTGTTTTATTTTCACATCTGGTGTTACCATGAGTATGACTAGTTTTGAAGATGACGTGAAAATGAATTACAAGTAGTAAATTAAATTTTAATACAGTTGAAGATATAATAACATTATTGACATTGGCATCAAAATACAGTTAAAATTTACATTGGTTGAGGTAGGATTATTAGCATAAATTAGCAAAATTAACTGCACAGCTGACAGTTTCATAGTGTATGTAATACTAAGCATACAACTGGAATATTGGAAACGCTTTGGTAGGTCTCTGGTACTCTGGACAAGCCTATATTGATTCTAGGAGACACGGTGGAGTAATGGATAGTGAATCGAAGAGCCGAGTTCGAATTCCAGTCGAATCTATTACATTCAGTTACGTGCCAATACCCTTGGGAAAGGCATGAATCCTCTTCTTCTCCAGCCCCCCCCCCACCAGCTATGGGTAAACATAGCAGGACAGACGGGGTTCTATAGCCTTGGATGGCAACTGGTTTACTGCAGAAAAATGTCAACCTACTGCGAGTGAAAAAAATTGCCTCGTCAGCCATGTGTGTATCATGGTACATGAAGGGACATCACTTATGGGAGTTTAAATTCAACAAAATCGCTAAAATAAGCTAACCAGTTGCTAGTTTAACAAACATACACAAACACACATACACACACACACACTCACAAATTATAAAGAGCATAAGGTTTTTCCGGCGAAACGCGTCTTTGATAAAAATTTACCATTTGTGTTGTCTCATCGTCTTCGTCCCCCGCAACAAAATTACACACACACACATATAAATCAAAATGGAAATATACTGTTAAAAGTTAAAACATATATTGTTTCAACTGCGTTTCGTTTAAAAAATTATTTTAATTTTATTTTATAACAAAGAGAAAGGTAAAAAAAAAAGCTTGTCATAATGAAATATATTCTTTTAATTTTACGGTTGTTGAAGATGTAACGTACACACATATACACACAAAAAATGAAAAAAAACATTCAAATATAAATCATTAGTCATTCAAGTAAATGAAATAAATCAACAACATTGAGAATAACACATTCTTAGAAGTATTATTAATTTGGTGAGGAACAGAAAAGAAAAATTATTGCCAAAATATTGTTCTCTAAAGATAGGAATACGAAAAACACAAAAAGCAAATAATGGGTAATTAATTGTAATTGACAACAACAACATTCGAATACACAGAAGAAGGTAAGACTAAAAAAAAATATTTACCTACCATGCTTTTTGTTATCTTGCCATTCCCCTGTATATTGGTCACCATTAACAGAAAAAACAGTGTGTCGGATACCACTCTTTTGGGCCTGTCGATCCCATTCAATCCACAAAGGCTTTTTGGAAGAAAGAACTTTTACGATCGGCATGATTTTGGGCGAATTGACAAGAATTATCTGACGAAACTTCTGTGATAATAATAACCAGCGTAAAGACGTTGTCATAGAAACCAAGTCAAGGACAAATAACTCCTGCTAAAAAAACATGCAGTATATGCACGTGCTTGCTGATACAAAGAATAGCATATAGCTGGTGTGTGCGTGCGTGCGTTTAAGCGGATTAAGGGAAGAAATATCATCTTGTTTCATTGCAGTCTAATTAAGAATATACATTAGAAATTCATTATTAAACCATTCGGGCTTTGAAGTTTGAAATTTATTCTGTATGTCATTGGTTGCTTGTTCCGAAACCAAACAAATTAATTAGTTTGTTTTTTTTTCGTCTGGCGATAAATAAAGGGGAAAAAACAGAAAAAATGATTCGGGATAGAAATAATTGTTTATAATGTAAGGAATTCTTTTAAGAGTAAATAGTAGTAATTACAGATACCGCCACAAACCTTCTAAAAGAAAAATCCGAAAAAATCATTTTAAATTTAACTATTCTTTATCTTCTTTGAAATTACAATTGAACGTTAAAAAAAGGGACCTCCATGAGATCGCTAAAAAAAGCGTATAGTCTGATGAAAAAGACGCCAAACTTAACGAAAAGAAAATTTTATCGTTAATGTTTATGTTACTATTAAGAGGAAAGAACAAAGTAATTTTTAATTATTTTTAAAAAATTTTCTGTCTTTATTAGAACATTCTAACTTTCGATTGAAAAACCTTGTTTCTCGTCATCACCGGAACTCTAGTAAATAACATGGCGAATTTTTTGTGCATTTTTTTCTCATGACACACATTAATTTTGAAAATCTTACAAAAATAGAAATAATTGTCAGATTTTAATGAAACTTTCAGAAACTATTCAGGAATGATGGAAATTATTAAAAATATATTACTTTTTTTAAAAGTCATTATAAAAATATATTTTTTATACATATATTACCACCCCCATAAATGAATTAAAGAAAACTGTAAAATTTTATGGACGAAGCAGGGAAGTCATTATATTAATAAAAACACAAGGCTTTGAGGAAAGTAAATCAGGTTTTCTTTTTTAAAAAATCCGAACTCTTAAACCGAAAATCAGCTCTGAATTGTAACATACAAAACCCAATAAAACAAAGATACTATTTAAATTTAAATACTTTTATGGCATAAAAAGCTAATCCGAATCAAAAGAAAAATGAATTTCCGTGAATAAATCAACTCTCTGGAATTTTTAAAGTAATTTTTTCGTCATTGTATACGAAAAATGTAAACAACAAATTTAAAATTCTCTTTAAAATCCAATATTTGTCCTAGGTATATATTTGTCGGAGTTACCTCCTCCTTCTGTCCTTGAACCAGCAGAGGAACAGGTCTTTTCGACCTTGACCTCTCATTCATACTCCTCACACACTGTTAACACGTCAGAGGGACTAGCAAATCCCCTTTTTTAGTTAGGCTATATTACAAACCTAGGTGTAATATACATCTAGTCATTTTTAGACCATAGTTATCTTTAGCTAACCTTGTAGTATTTTTTTATAGAGACTTTTCGGTTAGCTTAGCCAATTTCTCTTGCTGGTCCCCCTCGACACAAGACAGTGATTTCTCCCAGGAGGCTGTCGGCGGCCGCAACGGTCGTCTACACAGGCCCCTTGGCCTTCATTGGCCGAGGGCGCCGATCTACGGGCTGTGTATTAAGTTACGCTCCCATTTCTTTTTTGTCTGCCAACTTGACGATAGTTGGGAACTTTCTTTCTTTCTCTCTCTCTCCTCCTTCCCAACACGTCAAGTTGGCATCCAGGCAATGACAAACAACGTTGGCAACACGAACTGCTGCAACAAGTTGGCACGCCGGCAATGACAAACAACGAGTTGGCAACACGAACTACAGCAACAAGTTGGCACCCCGGCAACGACTCAGCTTCAACAACCAACAAAGATCATCCTGGCATCACTCAACATCAACAACCACCAAGCGATCATCCTGGCAACAACCCACATCAGCTTCAACCCCCAACAACGATGATCCTAGCAACTGCCAACCTCGACCATCAATGCCTGCACTAAAACTTCTGCAGTATCCAGCACTCCTGCATCATCCGGCTCACTCCTGCATCATCTGGCTCACTCCTGCAGTATCCAGCACTCCTGCAGCATCCAGCACCTCCACCGTTTCCGACCATCTTCATTTCCTTTTCCTTTTAGAATAAACCTCTATATATCATATATATCCTCGTTCTGTCGTCCATATTGTTTCACGGTCAGATTTAACGTCTTCAAAAATGTTAGCGGGCCTCTTGTGACCCCGTTCACCCCTTTCCGTGAAACGGGGCCGCTGGACCGCCCGCTACATATTTCGATGTCTCTTAATAAATTTAAGGATTAAATGTAACTGGATTTCATAAAAAGTTATGCCTACCTTTTAAAGCGATTTTCTAAGCCCGGCTTAGATGTGGCACAAGGACGAAAGTATGGTGTACCCAGTGAGGATCGAACTCACTACTCAGTCGTAATTGATCTAGCAGGACAAGCTTCCTAACCATGTCGACGGCCTTTGGTAAGTTACCCTTGGAGGATGGAGGTTGCCTTCCAACGAAGTCTGTGAACCTGGGCCAAGATGCCGTTCAGCTGTCGAAAATGTCCCTTTGACTGGTTTTTCTTAGCTCCAGTTTTTATTTTGTTTCTTTAGGCGTGAGTGGAAATTCTGGATTGTATTGCTTATTTTTTCTTTGAGCGTGTGAGTAAAAACGGAAGGTATATGCGGAGCCTTGCGTAGTTGACGGAATTTTCGTCCAGTTTTGGGTGTTCGGGTCATTCTTATCCAACTAGTGGTGGAAATTAGTGTAGCATGAACCAGAAGATCTGATTTTAGTAAGAATTTAACAATAACAACTTACGCGAAAAAAAAAAAACAACAAAAAAACAAAACAAAACAAAAAACGTCCGTATCGATGGATCGGAAAACAGTACTTTCAAGAGACAAAAACTGACTGAACAGGAGATATGAAATTAGATTAATATCATAATACTCTTCCGAAACAATATTAGTCAGTCAAAATGAAATATCAGAATGATGACCTTTTTGTACATCCATACTAAAATAGCCTAAGAGGAAAAAAGTAAATAAATTTATTTTATAAAAAGTACTCGAAAATGGCACTAAACTTTACATTATTTTTATTCAAACATGACTTTATTAAATAACAGAAACTTCTGTGATGGCCAGCAACGGGATGAATTTAGAAATCTCACTGAAAAAATACCAGACATTTTTAAAGGTAAATATTAATAGTATTTTTTATTTCAATCTATTCTGAAAGGAAATAACAAGTTTTATTAAATGCAAGCATGAATTCTCAAAAAGTAATTTTTGGGTTTTATTGAATTATTTTTGCTAAGATGCAAATCGAATTTTCCGTAGTTCACACTTAAATATTGTATACATTTTTACCGAAATAATATCTTCAGGGATTTTTCTTTATTATAACTGTAAAAGTTTTGGACGACCCCCCCCCCATATTAAAAAGTACACAGGCGATATCGAAAAGGTGCGTGAAACACACTCCCCAAAATTATTTGCCAAAAGTTAAAAAAAAAGCAAAACCAAATTAAAAAAAAAGACAACTTATCCATTAAAAAAAACAAAAAAACATTCATTACTGAATAAATATTGAAGTTTTTTCCTGATTTTTGGCAAATGTTTTAAAACAGGGTGTAGCGATTTTTTTTTTTAATTCAGGGAAAAAAACATCCATTACCTATAATATTAATTGCAATGTTTGACCTATAACTGTTTCCTTTGCCCTCACATGACTCTACAAAGATAACATAAAAAGGAAGTCAAAAACTTGTGCTTCGCGAATATTGTCTTCTAATTTGTTTCACAATTAACTCTGCTATTATGGTCAGAAACATTTCTGTTTTTGTTAATCAACTTTGCTCTTCAAAAAAAAAAGAAAAAAAGGAAGTACAATTGCATTTTAGTTTTATTTTTATTCAGTCATTCACCATTACTTACGATGACTGTAACGGGGTTAAATGTTAGGTGGTTAATGTAAGTTACCCAGTGTTACATGTATTTGCAGTTCATAGAGGGTTCCTTTTCTTTTTTTTATACTGTAAATGAAATGAATAAAATGTACGACAATAAAACTTTGTGATACGGATTGAAATTAGTGACAAGAAGAGTGTGTATCTTTCTTTTTTCGTGATGTTTTACAATGTTGATTTTGTGCTTGTTAAATGTTCTCAGTGTTATTGACTCTTTTTGTTTCTTTAAAATTTGGACTTCCGCTTACTTGTTTATGATTGTTGCGAGAATTTCGAGGTTAAAGGACGACTATAAAACCGTCAACTTTGGATTTTTATGGAGCGAAGAAGATTCGTCTTGTCCAGTCTGTCTTTGTTCTTTTTACTACTGCTACTTTTGTTTGTGGTGGACAGGTTGTTTTTAGAATGATGAAATTTCAGATCTTTATTTCTAGAATGATGAAATATCATCATCATGAATCATAACAATTTGTTGCCACTTACCAAGCAGCGCTTCAGTAATTGTTCAGTCAAATTTTGTAGGTTTTGATGTGAAAAAAATTCCAACAAAAACTCCTTAAGTCTGGTTTTCATTAGACTCTAATAGTGAAAACCAGATTTAATGATTAGAGAAAACTTTCTTCATGAAAGTGTTTTTCGTCGGTTGAAAAAAAGGTAAATAATCTATTGATGAATCATTGGCCCAAATCAGGAAATTATCCGATTCAATATTTAGGTATTTATAGTGGGTTGAGTAGAAAAAAAATGACTAAAACCAAAAACGCAATTGAAATATTTTCATTTTAGTAAAACTTTGGTTTTTTTCTAATTAAATAATGTCATTTCATTTTTTATTTTTTTATTTTACGATTTAGAGCAGATTTTCGGTACCTGGGAATCATGTTTGAAAGAAAAATGGTGATTTAAATTCTCCAATGAGTCCTGCTTTTGACTAATAAAACAAA